CAAGTGATGCGTAACGTGTTGTGCTGCCATTCGAGAAATTCATCCACTCGCGCTTGCTCCAAGAAATATTTCGGATAGAGATATTCGGGAATTTTACCCTTTGCGCTGAGGTACCTTTAAATGGGATGTAATTAAAAAATGTTTCATACCTTTGAGTTGATTTTTATCTTACCTTAACACGGCAATACTTTCAGCCAATTTGAAACCATCATCATTAATGCAGGGCACTCGCTGGAAACGATTGATATTTTGCTTGAACTCTTCAGTCAAGTGTTCACCTGCGACGAAAGAAAATATTTATTATGAAGTATCTTTGCTAACCCTAAGGCTTGACCACCTGTCCATCATTATTTCTGTCGACAAACCTGCCGACTACGGTTCCGAAGGTTTAAAAAATAAAAATTAAAAATTTGATTAAAAAATAAAAATAAAAACCAATAGATTTTACAAATAAATAAAATTACGATTATTCCTTACCGAAAAAATTAAAATAAAAAAATTACTATTTTTCAATGATCAAAAAATAAAAATCTTAGTATTTGACGCTTATTTTTGGTCCCTGATACGTCCACAATGTACTTAAAAAACTTCTTGGGATGTTTTTTCTAAACTCGACGAAGCATTTTCTAGGTAACTTAAATGTTTACTATCATTCTATCAAGATTTTTATATTTAGATCTCTACAAAATCGTAATTTTTTTATTTTATTTTTTTTTTTTTTTATCATTTTCAACCATTATGATGGGGACTCCGTTTTTATTTTATAAGTATTTTATGATCAAAAAAGTTAAATCTGACAATAACGGTTATATGACCGAAAAAATAAAAATCATAAAATAACGTTTAAATGTGATCAGAGAAAAATAAATCCAATTGGCACTGTTAAATTCTGATTTTTATTATAAAGATAATGACCGTTAAAGTCCCTGGATTTTACTGTTTTTTTTTTATCGAACAAACCGATTTTTTCATTTCATATAAATCTTGACCTTTCAGAAAAATTTTGAGTTTTTCCAAGTTTTCAAGGGGGTTTCCAGTTTAAGGGAAACCCCAAAATAGTTTCAAAATTATAACCTATGTTATATATATATCATATTTGATTCAAATAAATGAATGTTTGTCGCTTAAGCGTTTTCTATGTGTTTGGCCGAGCTTCTTCAATTCGTGTTCTGCTTCTTGTAGCAATATAAGCATTTTCACTGTATGAAAACTATGTAAAATGAAACCGGTTTAACCGTTTTTTTCCAATTTCAATTTTTCAAATAACTTGAAAACCGGTTTTGGAAAAAA